TCTACCAACATTTCCATGGAAATACCATGGAGAGCTTGTTCGTTCTTTCTTTCTTTCTTTCTTTCTTTCTTTCTTTCTTTCTTTCTCTCTCTCTCTCTCTCCCTCCTTCCTTCCTTTCTTTCATGTTAGCCTATGAGGCATGGTGGCGCAGTGGTTAGAGTGCAGAACTGCAGGCTACGTCTGCTGACTGCTGGCTGCCTGCAATTTGGCAGTTCGAATCTCACCATGCTCATGGTTGACTCAGCCTTCCGCCCTTCCAAGGTGGGTAAAATGAGCCCCCAGATTGTTGCGGGGGGGTGGGGGGGAAGAGGTTGACTCTGTAAACCACTTAGAGAGAGGGCTGTAAAAGCACTGTGAAGCGGTATATAACTCTAAGAGCTATTGCTATTGCTGTGTCAGCCCTCACTGAGGAAGAATCTGATCCCTTTTGCCTTCCTTTCAGGTAACGTTCTTTCTGGGATTGTAGTCGCTTTCTCGCCTACGCTTTTCCGGATAATCCGTTTAGTACGGATTGGACGAATCCTTCGGCTGGTTCGATCCGCCCGAGGAATCCGGACCCTCCTTTTTGCCCTGATGATGTCTCTCCCTGCTCTGTTCAACATTGGCCTCCTGCTTTTCCTGGTGATGTACATTTATGCCATCTTTGGCATGGCCAACTTTGCCTACGTCGTCAGGGAAGCTGGGATTGATGACATGTTTAACTTCGAGACCTTTGGGAACAGCATGCTCTGCCTCTTCCAGATCACAACTTCTGCTGGCTGGGATGGGCTCCTCAGCCCCATTTTGAACACCGGGCCGCCATTTTGTAATCCAACGCTCAACGTCCCTTCAACGTCTTCTAAAGGGGATTGTGGAAACCCTGCAATGGGGATCATCTTCTTCGTGACTTACATCATTATATCTTTTCTCATTGTTGTGAACATGTACATCGCTGTCATTTTGGAGAACTTCAACGTCGCCACGGAAGAAAGCGCCGAGCCTTTAGGGGACGATGACTTTGAAATATTTTATGAGGTATGGGAGAAGTTTGACCCCAAGGCCACCCAATTTATTTCATATTCTGAGCTGTCTGACTTTGCCCACGCTTTGGTGGATCCCTTGCGCATCCCTAAGCCAAATAAACTTGAGTTGATCGCAATGGATCTTCCCATGGTCAGTGAAGACAGAATCCATTGCTTGGACATTCTCTTCGCTTTCACCAAGAGGGTTCTGGGAGACTCTGGAGAGATGGACACACTCAAGCAGCAGATGGAGGAGAAGTTCATGGCTGCTAACCCATCCAGGGCTTCACACGAACCAATCACCACCACCCTCCGTCGTAAGTATGAGGACACTTCGGCTATGGTCATCCAGAAAGCCTTTCGAAGTCATTTGCTTCAACGTTCCATGAAACAGGCCTCATTCTTACACCGTCACCAGAACTGTGATGGTGATATCCTGGAAGAAGATGCTCCAGAAAAGGAAGGTCTCATTGCCTTTTTGATGAATGAAACTTATATCCAAAATCTGGAAAAGTCTCATACTCCGTCTTTGGAGTCTATCCCTCCCTCCTACCACAGTGTTGCAGGAGACCAGGGTGGAGATGATGATGAAGACCACAAGAGGTTTTGTGACCAGAAAACGGCAGAATCTTCTAAGATTGAGAAGCTTAGAGATGGTCAACTGTCTCCCGATAAAGACAAGAAATCCAATGTTTAATCAAGGACTTTGGAGCATAGTATTAAAATAAAGATAAGTTGCAACACATACAGAGAAGAACTCTTACTTATCTTAGTGATCTAAGAGTTGTTTATCTAACATTAAAACATTTAATATTTTTGACCATGTTAGGTTTCTGGCAGTTTGACAGCAAGATATTTACAAACTGTGTTTCTAATTGATCTATTGGGAATCTGGTGGTCAAGCTGAGATTATAATTTCCTGGCTACCATTGAACTAAAATTCAGCTTCTTTTGTTCAACATGGATCAAGCTGGCAATCATAGAATTTTTTCAAATGTTTCAATTTCTGATTAGCTTCCAAGTAATTCATAGTTGTGATTCTCTGGAACTCCTGACCAAGGAACAGTTTTGATGCACAAGCTACGACTCTCATTACCACCTTTGGATACTGTTTGAATGATATGTCCCACACTTTTTGTCTCCAATAAAAAAGAAAATACAGAATTTCTCTAAATCAAGTCCAGATTTCTCTATATCAAGAAGAAAACTTCTCAATTCTCAGATGTTTCTCTTTCATTTATTGGTGGTAACTGTGTGGTAAGGTGGAAAGCTAACAGATTTTGCAAATAAATAAATACATTTGGGGAAAGGACACTTATGAAAGAAAAATTTCTAGGAAGAAGACTAGGGTCAGCCAGATTGCTGCCCTAGAAGACTTTTATCTCAGAATGAATCTTAAAAAGTCATATTTTGAACTGTAATGAAATAATTTTGAATGGAGTCAGCAATGGGTAGATTGACTTGCCATTCATTTACAGACACTAATTTTACAGGTTATGCAACGCTGCAACCTAATTGTTGATTTAAAATGATACATAAAATGCTGTTGTTATTATTATTATTATTGCTGCTCTGATCATTTTCATTTTATGTTATATGGGTAATAAAATGTAACAGCTCTTTACAGAATAGCAAATATCAATCAATGATAATTAACTTCCCCAGGCACATTTTAATTTTAGTGTTCTCTTTTTATGACCAATATAGACTGCATGATTTTACTGATGGGGTACTTCTACTGGAAATGCACTAATATACAATCTGATATGGCAAGCGTATCTTAAATTATCATGGCATGTGTATCAAGTATTGTAGCCATGTTACTACCATTGCTGTGAAACAATAAACATATCAACAATCAAACATGTGTAGCCAAAACTAATTCTCCAGAAGTATTTTGTAGCAGTCACTAGCTTTTTATTTTTTTTTAACTCGGTATTTTAATATTATTTCAACTCTCTTCGTTATCCAACGAAGCAGATTTTATCTTGTATTGATAGTCTTCGATTTAATGACAAGAGTTGGGCCCAAAATTTCTGTTGCTAAGCAAGGCAGTGAGTCACGCCTGATTTTGTGACCATTTTGCCATGATTTTTAAATGAATGATGCAGTCTTTAAGTGAATCCAGCTTCCCACATTGACTTTGCTGGTTGAAAACCACCTGGGAACGTTGCAGATGGCAATCACATGACCCCAGGACAATTGCTGTTGTTAGTTGCGAAGTCATGTCCAACCCATCGTGACCCCATGGACAACATTCCTCAAGGCCTTCCTGTACTCTACCATCCCCCGGAGTCCACTTAAGCTCACGCCTACTGCTTCAGTGAGTCCATCCAGCCACCTCCTCCTCTGTTGTCCCCTTCTTCTTCTTTTGCCCTCCATCTTTCCCAGCATGAGGCTCTTCTCCAGTGAGTCCTTCCTTCTCATTAGGTNCCGTTCTTCATATGTTTTAGTCTCCAGTCCCCTAATCATCTTTGTTACTCTTCTCTGCACTCTTTCTAGAGTCTCCACATCTTTTTTATATTGTGGCAACCAAAATTGAATGCAGTCTTCACAGTCTGATCTTACCAAGGCTTTGTAACTAACACTTTCCTTGATCTTGATTCTCTCCCTCTGATCATGCAATCTAAGACTGTGTTTCTTTTTTCGGCAGCTGCTGCACACAGCTGGCTCATAACCCAGCATTTGGAGTTTTACAGGTAGTCTCCAACTAACGACCACAGTTGGGGGCCAGAATTTCCATTGCTAAGCAAGACAGTTGTTAAGTGAGTCTCATCAAGTTTACGACCTTTCTTGCTATGATCATTAAGGGAGTCACTTCAGTTGGTAATTGAATTACTTTCCCTTGTCAGATGTGAAGGTCATAAATGATGATCACCTGGATTGCTGCAGCCGTTGTAAATACATGCCAGTTGCCAGGTGCCTGAAGTTTGATCACGTGACTGTGGGAATGCTGCAAGTTTAATAAAGGAATGGTCATAAGTCATTTTTTTTCAGGGAAATAGGAATTTCAAATGGTTGCTAAACCAATGGTTGTGAGGACTACCTGTGCTATAAATCGGAAGTCATGGTAGAGGTGAAAAAGGCAAAGAATTATTTTCCTTGAAAACAAGGAAAATTCTGATTCTGACTATACATACTTCCATGTACATGTGCAAATCAGTGCTATTGGTAATTCATGAAAATATTTATTTAATTTATGGTTCAACCTAATGATATCCTGCTAATGTTTCCACATTCTTTGACAGCCTACCATATTCCACCATAATTGTTGTTGTTGTTGTTGTTAGTTGCGAAGTCATGTCTGACCCATCATGACCCCATGGACAATATTCCTCCAGGATTTCCTGTCCTCTACCATCCTCTGGAGTCCATTTAAGCTCACGCCAACTGCTTCAGTGACTCCATCCAGCCACCTCATTCTCTGTCGTCCCCTTCTTCTTCTTTTGCCCTCCATCTTTCCCAGCATGAGGCTCTTCTCCAGTGAGTCCTTCCTTCTCATTAGGTAGCCAAAGTATTTGAGTTTCCTCTTCGGGATCTGGCCTTCTAAAGAGCAGTCAGGGTGGATCTCCTCTAGGACTGATCAGTTGGATGGCCTTGCAGTCCAAGGGACTCAATGCAGGAGTCTTCTTCTCCAGAGTTCAAAGGCCTCCATTCTTTGGCGCTCAGCCTTCCTCATGGTCCAACCTTCAGAGCCATCCATTGCAAGTGGGAAAATCATAGCCTTGACTAGACACACTTTTGTTGACAGGGTGATGTCTCTGCTTTTTAGGATGCTGTCTAGATTTGCCATAGCTTTGATATTGTTTATTTTTAATAGAAAAGAACTCCTGTAGCTTGGTGTCCTTGGTGCTCTTTGAGCTCGGTTCTATATGTAGACCTTTCATTACCCAGCTAGGTAGCGTTGTCAGGAAACGGATGAGTGTAAGCAAAGAGTCAAGCTTTTGGGAGCACCAAAGATTCCATAGTTATGTTATTTTATACGATTCATGAACAGCTGGGAAATGGAGAGATAAAGAAAAAAAATACGTTGAATCACTCATAGATTGATAGAATGGATAGTTTGTTTGTTTTTTAAAAAAATCTCTCCCCTCTGGAGCCTGACTGGTTTTTCTATTCAGCATCAGTTCAGAAATTGTGCACCAGACTTCCTGGACATCTGCCTTCTTTTTAATATCCCTTTTGGGTTTTTTGTGCCTTAAGAACCAGTTTCTGTTTCACTGATCAGCAGGTGGGTCTCCCTTATTAACAATGTGGGTCTTAGGCGTCCATCTGCCCCCCCCCCCAACAAAAATGATGGATTTATCTACGTAAATATCAAGAGAAACACGAAGGGTTTTTCAGAATAATTGCATGCCATATGAGAAGGGGCTTGCCCGTGTCGTAATTACATGAAATGTTTATATGGGGTCTGTGTGTGCGCCTCTCTTTTGTTGTTCTGCCCACAACAACGGGTCAAATAATGCCCAGCATAATTTATTTGCTATTTTTCCAACGTGCAGACTTTCTGCTTCCTCAAACTGAAGAAGTCACCTTATTGCTTAAAAAATAAAAGGCTTGAGACTAGTAGCTTTTTCCTATCCCAGATTTGCATTGCAAGTATCCATAGAACAGCTGCCTTTAATAAAAAGAGATTATCTTGATTGGAAATTCTGGAAGTTATACAGGGAGCCCCCAATTTACAACCACAGTGGAGCAAAACAAATTTCAGTTGCTGAGGCAGTTTTGCCCCGGTTTACAACCTTTCGTGCTGCAGTTGCTAAGTGAATCGCTGCGGTTGTTAAGTTAGTAATGCAATTGTTGAATGAAAGTGGCTTCCTTATTGACTTCGCTTGTGAGGAGGTTGCAAAAGAGGAGCCCTCTCTAAGTGGTTTGCAGAGTCAGCCTGTGCCCCCCCCCCCCAACAATCTGGGTCCTCATTTTACCCATTTTGGAAGGACAGAAGGCTGAGTCAACCTTGAGCCTGGGAAGATTCGATCTGCCAAACTGCAGCTAGCAGTCAGCTGAAGTAGCCTGCAGTGCTGCACTCTAACCACTGTGCCACCTCGACTCTTAAATGACTCAAATGATCATTGTCATTTTTTTCAATGCTGTTGTAACTTTTAGTGGTCACTAAATGGATGGTTGTAAGTCAAGGATCGCCTGAGGCTGAAAACAAAGCGAGGACCTTCGTCAGCAGATGGTAGTTCTATAGAATATCTAATCCTTGCTAAAGAAATGTTTGCATGAATTACCAAGTGTAATAGCACTCATTTGCACATATGGGGAAGGTCTTTGTTTAGCCTGGCACTTGTTTTCAAAGAAAATAATTATTCACAATGCAACAGAAAGATTTGATGTACCATTAAAATACATTTTCCAAGAATTCGAGCGTGATTACCAGCAGAAAACTAAAAAATGCAAGATTGCCGTTATGGAGTTAGTGTATGCTACGCTTGGTAAATGACTCCTAAAATGGCTTTCTGGCTTTTTTATATAGTGCAGTTTAATGGATTTATATGTAGGCACAGAATAGCAGAGTTGGAAGGGACCTTGAAGGTCTTGTAGTCCAACCCCCTGATCAAGCAGGAAACTGTGTACCATTTCAGACAAATGGTTCTCCAATCCCTTCTTAAAAACCTCAAGCTTGGAGCATTTATAACTTTAAGAGGCAAGTTGTTCTATTGATTGATTGTTCTAGCTGTCAGGAAATTTCTCCTTAGTTTTAAGTTGCTTCTCTCCTTGATTAGTTTCCACCCATTGCTTCTTGTTCTGCCCTCAGTGCTTTGGAGAATCATTTGTCTCCCTCTTTTTTGTGGCAGCCCCTGAGACACTGCAACACTGCTATCATGTCTCCCCTCGTCCTTCTTTTCATTAAACTAGACACACACAATTCCAGCAACCGTTCTTCATATGTTTTAGTCTCCAGTCCCCTAATCATCTTTGTTACTCTTCTCTGCACTCTTTCTAGAGTCTCCACATCTTTTTTATATTGTGGCAACCAAAATTGAATGCAGTCTTCACAGTCTGATCTTACCAAGGCTTTGTAACTAACACTTTCCTTGATCTTGATTCTCTCCCTCTGATCATGCAATCTAAGACTGTGTTTCTTTTTTCGGCAGCTGCTGCACACAGCTGGCTCATAACCCAGCATT